GTGTCAGAAATGTAGGGATAGCATTTATTCACTTTATGAAATGATAAAGACTTTTGGATGAAGTGCTAGACCCTGGCTATGGAACATGAGCACTAGGCTTTTTCTTTCATCCCTTAGAGCTGAATTTGATATATTCATTCATATATAGAAATATTTATGGCAAACTAATATGGATAAGACATGTTTTTAGCTTGTTCAGGGGAATGAGGACCGTCACTAACTAAAGAAGATGGCCTGGGGGGCGGGGTCCAAGTGTCCAGCAGCTTTGTGTCATAGTTGAAAGTGTGGCCTTAGTGGTTCCCTGGAAAGGTTCAGAGTCTCTTGGTGGATCCTGGATCAGAGCCCCTCCCTCCCTCCTGCCCCGCAGCTGGGCACCTCCCCCTGCAGTCGCAGTCCCCCAGTCATGCACCATGTCATTTTCCAGCTGGTGTGCAGTGGCTCAATCTCAGCTCACTGCCACCTCTGCTGCCCGGGTTCAAGCAGTTCTCCTGCCTCAGCCTACCAAGTAGCTGGGATTACAGGCACCACCACCACGCCAGGTAAACTTTTCTATTTTTAGTAGAGACGGGGTTTCACCACGTTGGCCAGGCTGGTCTCAAACTCCTGACCTCAGGTCATCCGCCCGCCTTAGCCTCCCAAAGTGCTGGGATTACAGGCATGAGCCATCGCACCCAGCCTCTTTTCCTCTCTTATCTGACTCACTAGATGGGATCTGTTAGGTAAATCAGAAACCAAAGAGGAGTAGCATTCAACACTCCCTGTCACCTGACGAGCAAATCTATTATCAAGCCCAGTGCACTCTACCTCCTGAATAGCTCCTTACTTGTAACACTTTTGCATCTCCACCAGTAACTTCTAACTGGACTGCCCACATCCAGTGCTCTGTATGTTTTCTACACCCAGCTAAATAAAGTATTCATTCCAAAATGTAGAGCAAGTAGGTCATTGTCATCCTTCTGTTGTTTAAAGGCTTCTTAATGCTTATAGGACAAAGAAAAATCACGGTTGTGTGGCCCTACCCTGTATACATCTCCAGCTTCCTGGCACCTGCTCCCCCTTGCTCTTTAGGCTTCAGACACGGTGGCTTCTTTCAGACCCTGCGCCCGTCCTTTCTGAGGTTACTGACTAGCATGGAATTCCCTGCCCTCCTTAATGCCTGCCTGATTGCTGTGCATCTTTGACTTGGCAGCTTAGGACTCAGTACCTCAGGGAGGCCTTGGCTGAGCTCCCTGATTAGGTCAAATTTTCTTCTTCTGTAGGCTCTTAGAGTCCTTTAATTCTCTTTTCTATCACTTCTCATATTTGTCTGTGAGGGTGATTTGTTAAATGCCAGTTTTCTGCTACTAGAGTATAGGCTTCATGAGAATAGGGATTTGGTTAGAATTCTTTCACTATTTCTAGTAGAAGGAATAAGGCCTAACACGTAGTAAATACTGAGTAAGGCCGGGTGTGGTGGCTCATGCCTATAATCCCAGCACTTTGGGAGACTGAGGCAGGCAGATAACGATGTCAGAAGTTTGAGACCAGCCTGGCCAACATAGTGAAACGCTGTTTCTACTGAAAATCCAAAAAAAATTAGCCGGGCATGGTGGTGGGTTCCTGTAATCCCAGGTACTGTGGAGGCTGAGGCAGGAGACTCGCTCAAACCCGGGAAGCAGAGGTTGCAGTGAGCCGAGATCGCGCCATTGCACTCCAGCCTGGGCAAAAAGAGCAAAACTCCGTCTCAAAAAAAAATTACTGAGTAAACGAGTTATTTGCCCAATGATTGCCTTTTTAAAGAAAACCAGTTTTATAAACCTGATTTCTAGAAAATCAGTTCTGTAAACCAGCATTCATCAGGCTTATCATATGGCTTTTTAGATTTTGAATTATTTTTTGTGAGGATTTTTA